CCGCAGCGCCGAGCCGCCGCCGCCGCCTCTGCGCGGGTCTCCCGCACGCGCGCTCATTCACCCAGCGCTGCCAATCAGCCGCCGCCGGCGCGGGCGCCGCATTCTCAGCCTGCCGCCGGCAGCCACACACTCCCAGGGCGGCCCATCACACACATCCACACGCACGCTTTCCCCGGGCAACACACCCGAGGGCCAGGGCGCCGCGCGCGCACACTCGTGTGCGCACACACACGCACACACCGGGCAGCCTGCCCCAGGATGGCAGCCCAGGCAAGAAGAACCACTACGTGTAATAAGCCATGAGTAGAAGTGCAATAGGCATTTCTACACCTCTTATCTCTAGTTCACACCACAACCCTGTGGGTGTCCCCATTTCACAGATAGGTAAATGGGCTCAGAAAAGTAACGAATTTGCCCAAGATACACAGCTTGGCAGAGACTTGAACCCAGTCTCTCTGCCTTGAACCCAGTCTCTCTGCTGCCCTCTCCACCACCTGGTGGCTTTCAACAGTTGTACCGCTCAGGCAAGTGCCTCGAACACTTCACAGGTGACCCGCCGAGTGTCAATCCCTGTGTAACATTTCTTTTTGCTAAAACCGATTGGTCAAAAATACTCAGAGTTTCAGAAATGTCTGCCAGGAAGAATGGTGAGCTAAAGTGCTTGTGAGAGGTGGATTACAACTTGTTTCCAGTAAGGTGTTAGAGGAGAACAGTGAAGTCGAAGAAAGAGTGTGCAGCCTCAGGAATGTAAGAGAGCCCACAATGCTGCCACTGCGTTGAAGATGACTAAGGAGCAGGGCCGTCACGTCGTGAACCCTACTATGCTGTTGCAGTGACTGATTAAAGTGGTACTGGTTCATTTATGTTGTCTTGTCTCTAAATCCCCTCAAGTGTTCCTTCAAAAATGCTGGTATTTAAAAGTATCAGGAGAACATAAAACACAGGAGGTCCTCGCACCCCATAAAGCTGTCCCTCAAAATCCAGATGTCCTACTGTGTGCCAAGCACCATGCCCGATGCTTTATGAGTCTCCTCACTTATTCCTCATCACAAGCCACAGAGAGAGAAAAATTATTGTCACCATGTTATGACCTTGGATGTGACCATGACCCCCTTTCCATCCACCCCTCACTTGCTGCTCTGCAAGGTTGGAGAGGGGGTGCTTAAAGAGTCACCTAGGGCCGGTTCTATCTCCATTATAGAGAGCTAGCATAGTACTTTGCCCATGGTGCTCAAGGAATATTAGATAAGTGAATAACAAACAAATGAATGATTCTGGGGCCCAAATGGGCAATGGGTTGCATTTCAGAAAGGCATCCAGGACTCATTGTCTTATCAGAGAATTCCCCCAATTAATATAAGATAAAATCAGGCCACCAGCTGAGCCCCTCTCCAGGGAATGTCAACGATGAAGTCTGGGATTTATTCCAGGTCCCTTAACAAAACATTGCAAAGGGCATTCCCCGCATGCACCCTCAGGGGTCACTACAGGGTCCCTCCTTTAGTAGGGCCCCCCACCCACTCCTTTACGGGCTGCCTGGAGGCTGCATACTGGGATCCAGCCTCTGATTTTCTCTCATATATGTAATAAGAGTTATCCCGCTAGAGACATTTTCCTTGAATCCTCCTCATGGAAAGGCTCATTTCCTGCTAATCATGTCCACTTAAAGACTTCTAAATGGAAAAACAGAAATAAACAAACCCCAGTACATTAAAATAGCAATCCTCCATGACCAAGTAGGGTTATTCCCAGGAATTATATTTTTAAAAATATATTGAAAAGGAGGGCCGGCCCTGCGGCTTAGTGGTTAAGTGCGCGCTCCGCTGCTGGCGGCCCGGGTTCGGATCCCGGGTGCGCATTGACACACCGCTTCTC